TAACTGTCCTTTGGACACGCTTTGTTGAGGTCTGTGTAATCAACACACATGCGCCAGGTCCCATTCGGTTTCTTAACAAGGACCACATTGGCCACCCAGTCGGGGAAATTACAAGGCCGAATGAACCTGGCGTCCAGCAGCTTTTTGACTTTGGCAGCTGCCGCCTGACTTCTTTCCTCGCCGTGATTTCTTTTCTTTTGTCGGATGGGCTTCTTTTTGGGGTCCACGGCGAGCTTGTGGACATCAAGATCCGGGCTGACGCCTGACATCTCTTCCACTTCAAAGGCAAAAATGTCTTTGAATTCTTTTAGCAGAAGGTGCAAGCTTGCACCTAAGGTAGCATGAGCAACCGTCCCAACCTTAACAGTACGTTCTGGACGGCTGTCATCCAGAACGAGATCAATGCTTTCGCCAGCCGGTTGGGGACGGAGCTCATCTAACCGTTCACCGGTCAATGATTGCTATTTTTTCTCTTTTTTCACCTCTACTAGCAGAGGAGCCTTTCTTTTCTTTCCGGCTGCTGGTGGGGCAGGAGCTGGGTCGGCATCCTTGACATTGCCAAGGTCTACTGGTTCCTGACCGCCTGGGGCCACGGTATCTCGGACGGCTGAGAGATAACACACTCGGGCCGTCTTCTGATCCCCATTCAAGGAACCAACAGAACCATCATCCCTCTCATACTTGATGAGCATGAGGGAAGGGATGATTACTGCCTTGGCTACGTTGAGGGTTGGCCTACCAAGAATGATGTTATAGGCGGTCAACTCCTTAACGACCAAGAATCTGACGAAAATATGTCGTCCCTGGCCTTTCTCTCCCAGCCGGATGGGTAAGTCAATTCTCCCGGCTGGGTAGACCATCCCACCCCCAAAACCAACCAAGGGGTGGGTGACCGAATGCATGCTGCTGACGTTGTATTTCAACTTTTGCAGGCACCGGAGACTGATGATGTCTGATGAGCTGCCGATGTCTATAGGGATCCGTCCAACCAGCTGATTGGCAACCTTACATTCAATGACCACCGGGTCATCATGCGGGCGGCGAACGCTGCCCCTATCCTTCTCAGTGATCAAGACGTCTGGGAAGGAGGAGTTGGCTTCCGCCTGTTCATCATCATCTTTGTCCAGTTTTCGAAGATGGCTCTTGGTGGCTCGGATGGTAGGGCCACCACATGAGAACCCGCCTGATATAGTGTAGACCGGCTCCTTATCGGTATCCGAGCTACTAGCAGGCTGGGGGGTAGTCTTGGAGGACTGACCCTTGTTTTTCTTTTTTGCCCCGGCTGGGGACTTAGAAATGTAGGACTTCAACAACCTTTTGTCACCCAGACGGTCCAACGTACGCTGAAGACTGAAACAGTCGTTGGTGTCATGGCCTACCTCCTCATGGAACTGACAAAATTTATTCTTGTTCCGTGTCTGGACAGAACTCTTCATAGGATTCGGCTTCTCAATGGACAACCGGTCCTTTACCTCCATGAAGATGGAGTTGCAGTCTTTATTAAACTCGTACTTGGGGACGTACGGTTCAAATTCTTTCTTTTTCTTCTGGGACGGCTGGTCAGAGTCAGTAACCGCCCAGACTTCTTTTCTTTTCTTGCTCTCTTCTTTGTTGTTAGCCGGCTGAGCTGACTGGCTGTCTTTCTGTTTGTCAGACTTCTTGGAGTCCGACTGGCTACCAGGCTAGCAGAGGTCGGTAGCTTGAATGTAGCTTTCCGCCTCCCTCAGGGCCGCCTGTAGGGTGAAAGCCCCTTTTCTGACTAGGTCGAACTTAAAGATCGACCCGTCTCTCAGACCTTTAAAAAAATCTGTAAAGGCTACCTCATCGGATAGCCCCTGAATCTGAATTCTGATCAGGTTGAACTGCATGACATATGAGCGCAGCCCTTCTCTCTCTCCCTGCTTAACAGTGCTCAAATCAAGGCTTGTTTTCTTAGCAGGGATGTTCATTGAGAAGTTGGAAGCAAACAGGAAGGCAAGCTTCATGAAGCTATCTATGGACCCGACTGGCAGATTGCCAAACCAATGTTGGGCAATGCCCTTCAATGTAGCCGGGAAGCATCGACACCAAGTGGCATCGTCCAACCCCTGCAGATACATGAGGTTGGTGTAAGTCGTGAGGTGATCTTCCGGATTGGTGGTACCATCATAGGTACCAACCAACACATTCTTAACCTTGGTCGGCTGTGCCGCCTCGGTTATCTCCCGAGTGAGCGCAGAAGGTTGTTCACCCAGGCGCAGCAGACGAAACTGCCAGTCCAATGGCTAGACATTTGGATATGCCGCCTGACCCCCAAAGAAGGTCGGCTGCATGAAGTGAGGAGGATACTGTCCGTAAGCCTGAGTAGGCACATACGGTACATTTCCAATCATATGAGGGCCAGAATGGACGGTATTACCGCATGTCTGACTCTCATGCAAGGAGGGTGCACTCCCTGCAGAAATATTGTTGAAGCTGTCTGGAAAGTTCGACGTTGAAGCCGACTCAGACAGCGATTGATTTCTCTTCCGGTTGATGATCTCCCGGGCATCGAGAGTTGATTTTTTACTTCTCACCGGCTGATGAGGCCGGCGAGGGTTATTGGTGTTCCCCCTAGGAAGGAGAATTTTCGACCAATCGATGGTCCCGACTGCCTTCTCCTTTGGGTGAGGAGTGGGCTACCGGTTTCTGACTGACTTCCCCTTCTCTGGAGGAGTCTTCTTCGCCGACTGACCTTTACTTGGGCCAGCCTGGCTTTTGGTGATCAGCTTTGTAATTTCACCCTTGAAACTTGTCATGAACCTCATGAGTTCATCTCGGGTGACAGGGGCCGATCCAGCTACCGTTTGGGTTGCCCCTTCCGGCTGCCCAGTAGGTCTGCTCGGACCCGCCTGGGAGGCGCCCCGCTCCAGAGTCTCTCTGGGCCGGATGCGCTTGACTATGAGAGAGCCGTCCTCGGCTGTAGAGGTTTCGACTTGAGGATCCTCATCCTCCTCATGGTCTGTAAAGACTTCTGGGTCTTCGCCCAGACGGTTAGGGGGTGGTACAGACTCTTGAACCATCTTCGAGGTACTCTCCCCACAGACGGCGCCAAATGTTTTGGGTGTTTTTGTCCCTCGGGAGAGTTACAACACGAAGACTGATCCGGGGTGAGCTGTACCTGCAAAACAAACGGAGACACCAGTTGAGTGGTGCTCCGCCTCCGACGCACAAGTTAGAAACTTGAAGGGAGAAAAAGGTGCGGAAATTTAGGTGGGGATCCGCTTGGATTCCAAGCTCAGGATGTCTCTATCAAAGTGTAAAATATGTAATCAAATGGTAAAAAACGTCCCCTCAAAATGAGGGACATCTCCCTATTTATAGGGTCTTTGGGAATTGTGCCCCTGATTAGGTTACTGAACCCTAATCATTGGTGGGTTGCGCCGTTTGGCGGCATTCTCGGGATTTGGGCCTGAAGGCCGCCTTTTCCCTTGATTTCGGGAATGACACGTGTCGAGCAGGGATTGGTCCATTTTAGACCAATCTGGGGCTGACACGTGTCACCTTCTGATTGGGCCACGTGGCAGGGTAAAATTACCCTAAACAAAATTTATATAATTTTTGATTCATTATGGGACACATATCATATACTTTTAGAAAACAAAAAACCAAAAAACAGAAAACTACAACAATGCCAAACGAACCCTATACTTTTGATTCGGTCCGGGTTTAGTCCTAGCTTAATCTGTCCGGTATTCGGTTCTTAAAATTCTAATTTTCGGCCGGTTCGGCCTTGAACCGAAAAACAGCCCTACTTGCATTGTTGAAAATTTCTAGTGTAATAAGCCAATTTTACTAGATAAGAGTACAAAATTATCTATTTTTTTTTTTAAAAAAAATCTTCTATCTTTATTTTAATTTATGGATAATGAATAATGTGTATCCCTTAGAATTACATCTAATATTACATACCTTTTATAAAATGAGCTCAATTTGGAATTGTATTATAAATCACATGTCAGACATTGAATTATTGGTAATATTTACTTAATGTTTCTACATTTGGCTCCTTGAAAGAATCTCTTACAATTTAAATAGGGGTACAAAATTAATAAAAAAAAAATTATAAAAAAAAAGACGACTTTACAAGTCCAATGGAAATTTTGATCACTAATTTTTGTACATCATTGCTTCACTTAAAGTTTATAGTTGGTGTTGCTAATTAATTAACGCACCCTACCTATAGTTGGTGTTGTTCCAACAACTGATTGTGCCCCCTCTTTGTTATTTTAGAGATCTGACCTTAAAATAAGGTTGTACTCCACTTTGACTTAGAGCTTAATTAAACCTTCAGCATTATTCTAATCAGAGTATGACTTTATTTGTATTGTATATTTGTATCTTTTGGTTGTTGTGTTGTGGCCTGTGGGTGGGCAGCCAGCTCTTTTATTTCATTGTCCATTCTTGTCCTCATCCTTATATTCTCTCTTTATATACTTAAAAAATATTACTAAGTATGTGTTTAATAATGGAACCCCTCTCATTTCAGCCAACATGCTAATGATATACGGAGTATAATATTCATGCCAAAATATTTTGCTATTTCTAAAAGCAACTAGGATGTTGATTTTTTTCTCTCAAAAAAAAAAAAAAAAAAAAAGGTTGTTGATTTTTTAAAAGTAAGGAAAAGGATTTGATGTATATATTTTCAAGGTAAAACGTCCATAGAGCCTAACCTCCTAACTTGGATCGTGGTTACTTATGTAACTCGTTCCTGTGGCCTAATGAGCCCTTCTCCTTATCTATAATTATAAAATAAAATAATAATTAAAAAAGAACATATACTTTATAGTCTGTACTATGGGTCTTTATTATCACCCAAACTAAGTTCTAAAGTCAATCTACAATAATCGTCTCTTATACCTAAATTTCCCACTTTATTCTCTGATCATAAGAGCTATAACATAGATGCTTTCATCCAAACGTTTCCTTTCTCCTATTTATGCAATTCCCCTCAAATATAATGCCGTTGACTATCAACCATGAAAAAAACCTTCATCATTTTCATCTTCTACATCCTCATGCTCATCCTAAGTCAACGTGTTCAAGCTCACTCTAGTCCACCTGAGCTCGAACCAGACTCACAAAGTCGCGAAGAATCTAGGCAACCCAAGGAGATAATCATCGTCGCTGTGATCTCAATCATCTTGTTTATAGCATTTTATTGCATATATCTTTGTTGTTGCATAGATGACCATATAGTCAATATTGGCAATTGGAGTCGCTGGACACCTATAAACTTCGTAGGATCATTTAGGCATTCGGCTAAGGTCTCGTATGGACTCGATCCAACCGTAGTCAAGAGCTTCCCAACGTTCGAGTATGAGGCAGTAAAGTCGAAAATGATCGGAAAAAACACGCTAGAATGCGCAGTTTGTCTAATGGAATACAACGATATAGACGTGTTACGTTTAATACCTAAATGTGACCATGTTTTTCATGCCGAATGTGTTGATGATTGGCTAGTAAATCACGCTACTTGCCCCGTGTGCCGGTTCAACCTCACAAATGCCGACTTGTGGGAGTATGACATGTCACAAGATGATACGATTGTAGAAGTCGGAGATCGTGGCAACGACAATGACAACAACCAAAGGGTGGTCAAGGACATATCGTTATCGAGGTCGTTATCGACAGGACATATGGATAGGTTTACGTTACGGTTGCCTAGGGAGGTATGGAAGCAAATTATGATGAATGGTAATAAATTGGAAGGGAATATTAATTTGTGGGTTAAAAGTGGAGAAAGTAGCACAAAGGCTGGTTATAGAGAAGGGATTATTGTTGAAGGAAGTAGTAGAAGTAAATCTGAGAGGTTTGTAAGAAATAATGCTAAGGTTTTTTCATTTCGAAAACATTTTACGAGCAAAGAAACTTCTTCTATTAGTGTTGTTCCGATTGAAGCAAATCAGTTGCCCGTTTGAGTCTTTGAGGTTGTGCATAACTTGTAAATACTCTAACATTGACAAAGGAATTTTTTATTTTTATTTTTTTATGATTTAATTTGGTCTAGTTAATATTCTTCTTCATGCTTTTATTTTTCTTTTCATTTTGATCTTGTTTGTTTTGTCTAGTTTGAATGAAATTTAGTTTGTATTAATCATTGGCTGCTAGTACTTGTATATGAATTGTATCCGCGCATTATGAGATGATGTAACATTCGGGGTCTACATATGTACTATGCTTTAATTTGATGCTCCTATGTCCTATTAATTTGTTCTTGCAATCTCGTTCGACATGGTACATTGGTGGCCGGAGGAGGGGGCGGAAGCGGTGAGGGTGGAATATAGGTGGTGGTGATGGGGTTTGAGGTATCATGTTTTAGTAAGGAACGAAGAGGGGTATAATATGGATCGAGGAAGTAGATTGGTTAGGCATAGATGTTGAGAGGTTGGTGATTTGTCTAACAAATGAAATATTTAAGGATGCTTGTGAATTATAGTTTAAGTAGGAGTATTTTTTTTTTTTTTTTTAGATTTTAACCCGCATATTAATTATCTAACATAACAATACATTGATTGCGGAGTTAAACTTAAAACACGTGACACATAAGTATACACAATAAATTAAAAAAAGGTAAATTTTTCAATATTTTCTCCAAAACTAGAACCATCATGACATCATATCACCACCGCCTTTTTAAACTAGTCTACCACAAAAATTACAAAATTATCCTTTGTAGAATTGAAATTGCTCCGGCCGGAATTTACTAAACTATAATTTACAAAATCAATTGAGAAATTAAAATTTTCCTCTACACCATGACCACCACTACCGCCTTATCAATCTTTGTAGAAATTGAAATTGCTCCAATCCCCAATCTTCTAAACCCGTCTTGATCAATCAAGAATATCAACTACAAAAAATTAAAAAAATTTAGCACACATTCATATTCAAACCCTAACCAATTCAATTAAATAACTCACATTCTAGAATGGTGCCGTCATCATCCCCAACCTCGGATTTTCGCGAATATTGATTGAAACTTCAGCCCTAGTAGGCATTTCTTGTGGACGACCATCTCCGGCGCTCATTAAATTAGCCTGGCAGAAGGGACACGTACCACGAAACCGCAACCAAGTATCAATACAATCCGCGTGAAATACGTGGCCACACTTAGGCAACCGCAATATTTCATTCTTCTCAAACACCCCTAGGCACACCACACACTCACCCGTCATCCTAACTTTTGTATCTATATCTGTATCTATATCCATGTCGTCGTAAGAAAACTTTGGGAAGGTCTCTATGACCGAATTTTCGAGGCCTCGAGATATCGAGGGGCTCATAGAAATATTGGAATTCAGATTGAAAATCCAATAGCAACGACACATGATGGTGTAAATTAATACAATTGAGATGACACACACTATAACGTACATACTGATGAACATGACTAACGCAACAGTTGATGATGCATCCATCAATTTTTTTTTTTTTTTTTTAATTTTTTTTTTTTTTTGGTGGTGCTTAGCTTTCTCTAGTATTCTCAAAACCTCAATTTTTGGAAACTTTATATTATGTTTTAATTATTGTTCTAGTCTTTTCTGTAAATTATTGTTGAGATCATCATGTCATTTATGTTTGATACTCCGTATATAAGATTGTGATTATTAAGGAAATACGAGTAATAACATTGAAATGAATATCATGCTTGATATTAGCTGGAATCCTTCTCTCTAATAACACATTGGCTAACATATATAGTAACCCGGGAGTGTTACAAAAGCAATAGCCTTAAGTAAGCGCGTTATAGGATTATATACTAACGCGTTACACATCATCCATTGTTTAAATGTTGCAACAATTATCATGTTACGGAGTATGTCGTTTCTCTTTAATGAAATCAAACTAATTCATCATTTACACAGCAAATTAAATACTCAACATACATTCATTGGCATTTAATTTTGGTTCTTTAATTATTCACATGAGTTTTGCTGGTAAGTTACATATATAATTTATATAGTCCATTATTTCACATTTAAGTCACTTTTGTTATTTCTTTGTCTCCCCTGTGTTACATATATTTACAAAATATTTTTTTGTTTAATTTTAGTTGATACAAATTTAATAAGACTCCGCATGAATATATTGTATTTCTTAATGTTAAATCACAATAATGAGTCAAAATAACTTATGTGATTAGTGCCGAAAGTCCAAAAAACACGTATTAGCTAAAAAGAGACGGAGAAAATATGACATTTTTATAAAAAAGCAAAGGTTAACAAAATACTAGTTTCATTTCCTCAAAAAAACAAAAATTATTAGTTTCATTATGATTTGGGTGGTCAATTGTACAATTTGTGGAGGCAATCCTAAAGGCTCACGTTGAGGCATTTGTTAAATGCTTAGCATGACATTTTGGTAAACATCGGAAAATTTAGATCGAGAGGTATTATTGGGACATAGCACTCTCAGTGGTGCTTAAAAAAGTTCCTACGTATAAATCTCCCAATTGAGTGATACATTCAATTAGAGTGAGTTGCACACCAGTTTTCTCACTAATCTCTCTTTCCACATGAATGTAGTCTGTCCAAAAATTTGGGCGAGTCAAACTAACGATGAGTTAAAGGGAAATGATTTTGGCACACCTCTATGTGAGAGCACAATTTTATATGCTCTTCTCATATGTAGGTGTGCCAAAATCAATTTCCAAAGTTAAATATATCTGACAATAATAGAATTTTTTTTTTTTTACTATTTTACCTTTGATAGTAATTTGTTTTTTGGTGTTTAGAGAGCCACGTTGACAGGAGTGAGAATCGATCCCAAAATCTCCTACAATCGGAAGGAAAGCTTTAACCACTTGAGTTATTCCTCACTCTCTTGTTAGTCATGATTGGGTGAAATAGGAGGGTAACAGTTGATGAGGTAATAATTATGGGCTTTTGCTTATGCTTGGATTGGGGTAAATAAGTTAGGCCCGTAAATTTTCCCCCAAAATGAGAGAAATGCATTACCCTAGCACTCACCCCCCCGGTAACTATTCACCTGACAATTATTCACCCAATACAACTCATCATCATCCTCTTCAATAACTCAACCACCATTCATTTTTTTTTTCCATGGCTAGATCTATCTTCCATTATTCCGGGTATACATGTCATCACAAATATTATTCAATTTTACTTTGACCTTCTATTTTATTTAAAATGATGCTGCGAATGTAAAACCAAAAAAAAATTGTTGAACAAGGTGAATTGCCTTGTAACCATTACCTTCATACCAAACCATTAAAAATATTAGCCCTGAAAAAAGTGTCCCCCTAAATTAGTCCCTTGTAATTATTCTTCTCATAAAATCTACCCCTTAATTATTAATATGAATCCAGGCAACCCCTTATTGTGCATATATAGTTATTTAGTATTTCAAAATCCAGGTTCCTTACAACGATATATAGGATTTGACTTCAGTGTCAATCTAAGAGAGTGAAAAGCATAGGTCTTGTATTTTTATTTGATTGAAGAATTGATCAATTGAAGATGTCAATTTGGTTATTATATGGCTAGTCACACTCAAAAAGTCGGAAGCACACAAATAAAAATGGCAATATGATAATTCAGAGCATATTGCTTAGCTGTACTTAGTATAGTTCTTATCCTATAAAATTTTGTAGAACTGTAGATGCCCATATTGGTGAACCTTACAAATTATATAGGTATTTCGTAATTGACATCAACAATATAATACGTGTAATGTCGCTTGTATTGAGTATATATAACAAACTACCTCTATTAATTTTTATGTGTAATTTTGGGATAATATTTGAGATATAAAATATTCACTACAACAAAATAAAGCAAAGGTAACAGTGAAAAATCATCGTCTAATATAAAAAAAGTGTTGCCTTGTAGCTAAGGCAACACATATGAGGCGTAGTATATGCCCCCGTTGTCTATTCATAAAGCAACACATTTTTATCCAAAGGAAACAAATTTGAAGACCAAGGTAAAATAATATATAAGGCAACACTTTTACAAAGACAACAAATGAAAAATGTTGCCATCTAAGGAGACAATTAAAAAATGTTTCTAAATGTTGCCACTCCCAAGCATTTAGTAGGTTGTAGGGCTCGAATTTGTGACCTCAAAGTCACCTTAAAAACAATATCTTAAATTATGTTTTCTTTTTAATATAAATGTTGCCCGTAGATGGCAACATAGATATTAATGTTACATTTTCAAGCAATAGTTTTGTTATTGTTATCTTTTCATGCAACAATTATTATATTTGTTGTCTTAGACTAGAAAAAGGTAACACTTTAAGCGACTGTAGCATTATATATTCTAGAGCAACACTTTTTTATCTGTTACTTTAGTTCAAGGTAACAAATAAATATTGTTGCTTTAGATTACTAAGAGTATCATTTCTGTAAGTGTTGCAATCTTAAGTGTTGTCTATTCTCATTTTTTTTGTAGTGATTCTAAAGTTGCATATAAAAATTAACGGAGGTAGTATATACTTCTATGCATAATAAGATTTCTCTTAAATATATAACGATTATGTCATGTCACTATGAAACCATTTTATTATAATATCGGAAAATAAGAGGAAGTTTGGAAATTTAATTAAACAATGTTTTAAAATATTGTTTAATTAATTTATGGGTAATTACTTGGTTGCATCATATAGCATATACAACAGTTACACATATATTATGATATTTTCTAATTTCTATATATTTATGTACACATATACTAGTAATATTCATGTAGTCAATTCTTGATAATATCAATTTATTTTTTATATTATAAGAACAAATTATTTACTAATTCCCAATTATACTTAAGGCCGACCATACTAAAAAGACAGGATTACTCATATTCTATGTTGCCACGATCGATATTATGGTACCTTAGCTTTCTCTTGACTAAGTAATCTTGTTTCACTATCTTCAATTATTATAACAACAAAATTACTC